AAATGGTAGTTTAGTGAAAATAATAGAGTGCTGTACATACTGGCATAGTCACTTCAGGAATGGCATGTATAAAACAATGAATTATTGTTCTATCTGAGCTCTGGTCTCGCTCAAGGTCGCCTACCCTTTGGTGGACACACACCACGCTCACTTAGCCCGTGATTGGTCGGTTGGTTGACACACCCACAGATAGACTTGTGTTGATACGCAGTTCCTTTTGTGCAATTACTATACAACATAATTCCTTAATTACAATAGTTGCTAAGCATACTGCGAGAATGGGTCTGAAAATGATCGCATTTACTACTTGCTATAGTGACTAAGTACAAGTTTCTATTATGCTTTTGATACTAGGTTTATATGACAATAAATAATGAATTTCCATTAGTAAAATTCTATTCTTTCTCTCCATAGACACTGTCATAGATAAAGTACTAGATCAGAATTCCAAGGATAAGTAAACAAATTTGATTTTCATGGACATATATTCTCAAAAAAGCACCTTATAAATATGCGGTCAGTCTAAGAAGCAAGGATAAATACACAGATGCTGAATATCAAAATAAACCAAATTTCTAAAATCAGACTCCAAAAAAATAAAGATAAAAAGTATTGTGTTCTTGACATCCAAATAAGTAAAAAATAAGGCAAAAAACACTCAGATGTAGAAAATAACACCATACAACCTAAGTCATCACCAACTTACAAAAATATTCATTTGCTTACACTAATACAACTGACCAATTTATAATCACTCTGAGAATTAATCTGATTATCATACCATTAACTTAATTTTGGAAGCAGTATTCTTGCATGTATATCGTATACATCATAAGGCATATTTACTGAAATGGTTCCTAAAAATGATAAAATCTTGAAAGCCAAACATATCAATGACAGTTGCAGAAGCTGGATCACCTTTGCCGATACAACTATATACCTGGATGTCTAGAATAAAAAGAAATGGTTCCCCAATATCAAGAATCTGGAAGGATATTTAAGCCTTTCCTAATAAGGTTCGCATTGTAATATCGATAGCTACTACAAAACACTGCACTCCCTTTGAGTTATGGTGGTCGGGAATTCTCATGACTTCTTCATACAAAAAATAACCAAAATATAACTATTTGCAGGCTGCTTATTGCAAATTGTGATTTTTCTTAAGCATATTGATAACTTCTTAACTTTTGTCATCATTAGTATATTCTTTTGGACAAGTGTTAAATATTTTATATTACATAACAGCAAATATACAACTGAAATAATCAATATTACTAGGGCTCTGGCAGTGTGATGCTTTCATAACTGTAAGACTAATAATTTTCATTTCAAATACCTTCAAATAATGGCTGCTTCGAATTAACCTTTCCCCTTGAATAAAAAATGATTATTGCAATTATTGCAAGGTTCATAATACATACAAGGCTGGTGTACTAAAATCAAAGCAAAAACTAGTTAATGAATTAGCATTTCCCCATTACACGCATGGTAATGTTTAAGATCCTTCTTATATAATGAAAAATCTTGATCTTGTACTGACACCTGGGTAGGTTCAAACGAGAAAGAGCCTAAAGAGGTATTTAATTTGTCTTGTAATGAACACATTTTAAAATACTCCATCCCATAATAGCAGTATATGCTTGACCTTTTCTATCATATTTTAAACAATGGTGGGCAGTGAAATATCTGTACTTTGTGCTATATAATAATATTTGAGCATTACTAATCTAAACAATGCAAACCAAGATTGATTAATTATACCATGAAGCAGGTAATTTTGAATAAAAAATAAACCAAAATGTATACAAAAAATAACATATACTTTTAAAAACAGCAAACATATTACTAAGTATCACAATTATTTAAAATTTCCTTCAAAGTCCTGAATTATGCTACTAATAATGCAAGACTACCAATGTTTTTAAAATCTTAGAGTTAAGATTCTTTCCTTCTTAATGTTTCATACTTTCAGATCTTCGATTTTGAATATTAAACATTTTCTACATTAAAAAAAGCAATCCATAACCTGAGCTTCACATAAACAAAACACCTCTCAGAATAAACTTCAACTCTATCGGTCTAGGTACTCACTGGCTTAGATGCCTATAAACATGTAATGTATGGTATACATTTTGCTCATGTGTCAGCACCCAGATTGAACATTATTATTAATAAAATCCACATTACTGTTAGTAAACATTTGAATAATGATCATTCTCCTAAAATATAGATATTAACTGATCAATGACAAAAATAAAATAATAACAGGGTTTGATCTACCCATTGTTATCGCTTATTCAGTAAAATGACAAGGGAGACTTTTCAGGACAAATGCAAACCAGAACTCTCTTGTGGTTGACTTGCATGATGATGGCAATGGTCTTGAAAAGGCACTGCTTATGAAAATGATCCAATATGTACCTTTAATGTGTTTTTCAGATTAATTAAAATAACAAATAACAATGGCAGGAATCAGGATGAAACTCCTACCATAAACAGCGCCCAACATCAGGTATGACTAGGTAATAATTTAATGAACATGTTTCAAATGATGATGAATAATTCAATGATTGCCTTTGTACTAGTAAATTGTTATGCAATTACCATGATTTTTCTATTATGACTAATAAAAAATCTTAGATAATACAACATTTCACTTACATTTTTACTTAAGAACAACAATGTTCTGATGTTGAAAATATGACGGTGATTCCCATCAAATCATATCCAAAATTACTTTCGTATGAGTCATCACAAAACAATTTTAAAGAACTTTGAAGACTATCTATAATTTCTCATTTATTCAGACTCATTCATTATGTTTAAAAAAAAACTAAACATCCACAACCAAAAAGCAGCTAAAAATGAAATGATACAGCATAAAAATATACAAATGTTGAGATCCTCCAGTAGCTGTTGAAAGGCAAAAAACAGAAGGAATAAAAATAAGCGTGAAACTTGGAATGAGTCACTCAAACGTGAAGTACACCACAAGAGAAAATCTATCCACAGATTGACAGTAACAGCTACGAGTTGCCTTTCTTACTTTCCACTTTCTCTCAGAAGCCATAGCCATAATTATTTAATGGAATGAATGAATTACTCCATAACAGGTTTATCCTAGCTACATATTCCTTAACACCAAGTCTAAGGCAGTATCATAAATCCATACCATGTCTATAATAAACTGTTACTTCTTCACATGTAATGACTAAATTATTGGTGCTACTAAAATGAGCTTAATCTACTGTTGCCTCTCCTCGAGACAGTATCTAAAAATAAATCAAATATAGAATGGCATGTCAACTGTTCCAGTACTGTCACCTCTACTGTAGGTTAGAGGGATATTCCTACAACAATAATAATTTACATAAAGATAGATACGCCCTCTTTGTTTATTAAGATACTGTCTTTAAAATAAAGCTGTGTTCCTTAACCATTCTTGTTCCTCTACTTTAGGAATTTCTCATTTTTTCCACACACAAAAATAAAATGTTAACCATGATGATTCTTCTGTTACCGTAATCTAAATGACTAGTGATTACTGTGATTTAAAACTATGATCTATAATACACACCATTATTGGAAATATAACTAACCAATCTCCATATGCAACAATACACTGAATATATTTTTTTCTGCTAAAACTGCTATTGTCCTGGAATGGTAACCCACGTGTTTCCATTTTCACACGGTACAAATTAGTCTAGAGAAACTTTGTTTTATTGGTCACAATGTCCTTTGATTGCTGATTTATAGTAATCTGAGATATCAAGATCTAATTGAAGTGAAAATAAATAATTATATATAAACAACACTGTATAATGGCACTAAGTCTACTCTATAAACATCTATCATTTATTTGGAAGAAGAATGCAAATGCATACAATTACTCTTTAAATACATGTCACTCTTCATATCCTAATCCCGCACTTCTTACTCACCAATTCACCTAGTAGAACAAGACTCAGTTTAGTTTTAAATATAAGGTTTTCTTTTCTTCAGTAACCTATTTACAAGTTGTCTCCTTATCTCAGATACATACAGCAGACTCAATGACAAGCACATGTGCACAACAAACTTGCAGATATACAGTCATACCATATGCATATAGCCACACACTCATATCAACATTCAATTACAGCCTTCTTGCTTCAACTTGCTTCCTCATTCTCTGATTCCCCACTGAGTCCTGTGTTTTCTCCTGTCACCCTGCATCGATGTAAGATGGCCTTTTCATACGCTTTCTTCACGGCTTTCCTTTCAGCTGGTTTACGGGATTCCACAAGTTTGGCCTTATCCAAGGTTGAGTCCACTCCAAGGGGCTCTAACTTATTACGGGGCAGCCATTGCCTGTAGAATAAAATTATTGTATTACAGAATATATTATCACCTTTGAATTGAATGTTATATTTCGATTCAGTTATAATTAGATGATTTGCATGGAATCTGAAATACTTACCAAGTGCGTTTATTATCAAAGAACAACACTAAGTACATTGGTGAAGGGTAATTATTAGCCAATGCTAAAACATCATCTGGAGGTACTGGAATTGGAACACCATTGTGGAAGTAGCCTGTTTTAGGCATCTTGGGATTGATAATCTGGAAATTAAAAAATAAATAAATAAATAAATAAAGCAATTATGAGGTTTCATTTTCAAGTATAATGGAACACAGATATTAAATGTATCTTGGATGAAAAATCAAATAGATAGTTCTTTACACATAAAACCATCTTACCACATGTGTATATCATCAGATACGTATCAATTTTTAGACTGCTTATAGCTTATAGAGAAAAAGCATGGAATTAAAAGTAACATACCAGAGCAGGATACCAAGGGTAACCCCGACACTTAGCCCAAACAAGGTCAAGAGGTTCGAGAGGAATCTGGTCTCCAGTGTGACCCGAGCCAGGTGAATCAACCGCCACACTTGAGTCAGACTCACTACCAACACCTTCTGAATCCGAGTCTGAAGCAGTGTCATCCTCTGTGTCCGTCAGGCTGGAGTTGGATTCAGAGTGTGTATCCTCATCGGTCTCTGGGGGTATCTCTGTCAGAGGAAATTGGAGTGTGCCATTTGATGATTACATAAAATCTTTCATTCATAAATAAATCAATGATCAAGAGGATATAGAAGATTAATTACACAGATGTTTGACAACTAACAGCTATCAATTAACAAACAAGTTGAGGAGGAGGAGGAGGAGGAGGAGGAGGAGGAGGAGGAGGAGGAGGAGGAGGAGGAGGAGGAATAGAAAGAGGAGGAGGAGGAGGAGGAGGAGGAGGAGGAGGAGGAGGAGGAGGAAGAGGAATAGGAGGAGGAAGAGGAAGAGGAAGAGGAAGAGGAGGAGGAGGAGGAGGAAGAGGAGGAGGAGGAGGAGGAGGAGGAGGAGGAGGAGGAGGAGGAGGAGGAGGAGGAGGAGGAGGAAGAGGAGGAGGAGGAGGAGGAGAACAAGAAGAAGAAGAAGAAGAAGAAGAAGAAGGTGATCATCCAATAATTCTATGTACTATAAAGGAACCAAGAAAAATGGAATATAACATATTTTTTCTAGAAAAGCAAAGTGCAAATAATTGAGAAAATAAATCCTACTTGACCAGCATAGGTTATATAGCCTGACTGTTCTACACAACAATTGCAAATGATTAATCTATGAAAAGTTACTACATCCAATTTTCCAGTTTATCTTTGCTCTTTAAATTTTATTCAACTTACCTGAATATTATTATTTTTTGTTATGTAGTAATAATGGTATTTATATTCAACTTTTAAAAAGATCTCATGGACCTATCATTTCACAATACTTTGAAATGTGCCAGATTTAAGGACATAAACAACTCAAACATAAATCCATAATTAGTTCCTGTGACTTTGGATCTGAACCCCAGACTGCATCTTCTTTGAGGATGTTTTCTTTTACATAAAACAAACAGACAGGCATGCATGCACGCACCCACAGTTATATAGAGAGAGTAAAACAGAAGTTTGAAAGTAAATCTTCCATTACTGTACTTGAGTAGGGGACTGGAAGATTATATTTTACAAAAAATCCTTATATTTTCTGTTTTTCTACCCTGCTTGTAAAAGAGAATAAAAAATCTGGAAAAGTAGAGGTTTATAGATCTTTCATACCGACAACATACAAATCAATGGAAACATCAATAATTTATTTACCTCCTCCACTATTATTTACTTTCCTTTCCTATAAATACTAATGTACTGATAAAAATTAAGAAGCTTAACTATGTACAATTTGCTAATTTAACTACAAAACTATCATGCATATGAAATGTGCATATGAAAAGTCACTAGAAGAAGAATCTCTACAGAGTGATACATACTCTGAGTTAGATCATTCCTGTTAGTCTTTTCCTATCATTCACATACTTTTGAAATGTGCCAGATTTAAGGACATAAACAACTCAAATATAAATCCATAATTAGTTCCTGTGACTTTGGATCTGAACCCCAGACTGCATCTTCTTTGAGGATGTTTTCTTTTACATAAAACAAACAGACAGGCATGCATGCACGCACCCACAGTTATATAGAGAGAGTAAAACAGAAGTTTGAAAGTAAATCTTCCATTACTGTACTTGAGTAGGGGACTGGAAGATTATATTTTACAAAATATCCTTATATTTTCTGTTTTTCTACCCTGCTTGTAAAAGAGAATAAAAAATCTGGAAAAGTAGAGGTTTATAGATCTTTCATACCGACAACATACAAATCAATGGAAACATCAATACTTTATTTACCTCCTCCACTATTATTTACTTTCCTTTCCTATAAATACTAATGTACTGATAAAAATTAAGAAGCTTAACTATGTACAATTTGCTAATTTAACTACAAAACTATCATGCATATGAAATGTGCATATGAAAAGTCACTAGAAGAAGAATCTCTACAGAGTGATACATACTTCTGAGTTTAGATCATTTTCATGTTTGTCTTTTTATGTAAATACATACCTTAAGACCAACTTTTTATTACATGCAAAATATTTTTAGTCAACAAGTTTAGAAATAATAAACAGGATTTTATCATTTCTTTAACATTTGCATACTATTCCACTGAGAGAAAAGAATCATGAACAAAGATCATGCATTTGTTTCTTCATCCTGCTTATAACCCTCTACTTCCAACTAAACCCTAGAAGCTGAAAAATAAGATTAAAAAAAAAACAGCCATTGCTTTACAGACCCTCAACAGCAAGTGACATAACCAAGCCTAATATAACACCTAGAACTAAAAAGCTGACAAACCACCCCTACCGAACTGTGCAAAAATAGAAAAAAAAGAAAAGAAAATGTACAACAGGAAGCAAACAAACCTCCTCCCTGTCGATACATCTTGAAGGAATCCTTGGATGGAGGTGTCCCACTGTCTGAGAGATCTAAGATTGAGATGTTTTCAGGGAAGGACAGGGAGGAGCCCGACTTTGTGTTCTGATGGCAAATAACACCGGAGTCAACACTTACTCCATTAGTCAACCCTGTATTCTGATGGTAAACAAGGTTGTTGTTAATACTTACTCCATTACACAAACAACAAGAGCTGAATGATAATGAATAAATAATAATAAAAAAGACATGTTTCCAAATCTTACACTTCCTTATTACTCTTGCATTTCTAGCATCTACCCTCCTATCTACCTACACTATGCTGCTTTTCTTTTCTCTGTAACATCAGGTTTCACAATGTAGGCATATCTGAATTATATGAATTCGTAAATTTCATTCACTTGCACACAATTTGTATCACTGAATCCTACCAAAAGTTGAAATATAAAAGAAATAGAAAAAGACTAAAGAATTTGTCACATTTCAGGTAATTTACTCAAATATAGTAAGAGTGATTCAGCTGCATATTTTTCAGCTTACTTGCAATATAATAAAAGCCAGAAACTTCCATGTTATAAGTTAAAAAATGATGGTATGACTTCTGCTGTCACTAAAGTATAGTGAAGACAAGTTAGGAAATCTCTTAAACTATTTTTGTGAAAGGATGAAAAAATTACAGAATATAAATACCCACCACTAACCATTAGATGTCCCTTTTCTCTTGTTTCTGAGAGATCTAAGATTGAGATGTTTTCAGGGAAGGACAGGGAGGAGCCCGACTTTGTGTTCTGATGGCAAATAACACCGGAGTCAACACTTACTCCATTAGTCAACCCTGTATTCTGATGGTAAACAAGGTTGTTGTTAATACTTACTCCATTACACAAACAACAAGAGCTGAATGATAATGAATAAATAATAATAAAAAAGACATGTTTCCAAATCTTACACTTCCTTATTACTCTTGCATTTCTAGCATCTACCCTCCTATCTACCTACACTATGCTGCTTTTCTTTTCTCTGTAACATCAGGTTTCACAATGTAGGCATATCTGAATTATATGAATTCGTAAATTTCATTCACTTGCACACAATTTGTATCACTGAATCCTACCAAAAGTTGAAATATAAAAGAAATAGAAAAAGACTAAAGAATTTGTCACATTTCAGGTAATTTACTCAAATATAGTAAGAGTGATTCAGCTGCATATTTTTCAGCTTACTTGCAATATAATACAAGCCAGAAACTTCCATGTATAAGTTAAAAAATGATGGTATGACTCTCTGCTGTCACTAAAGTATAGTGAAGACAAGTAGGAAATCTCTTAAACTATTTTTGTGAAAGGATGAAAAATTACAGAATATAAATACCCACTAACCATTAGATGTCCCTTTTTCTTGTTTGCCGACTTTGGTGTCTTTTCTGGTGACTGAATGTCAACATCACTATTGGTGCCCTGTGTGCTCTCTGATGCTCGACGCTGGCGTGATATGCGTTTCTGGGGAGATGAACTGTCTGGCTTCTGGAGCAAATGAGAACAACGAAATAAGCATTTGTATATCAACAATATTTGGACAAAAAAAAAAAAAAAAGGGAAACTGTTAAAGCATGAGACAAACAGATTGTATTACAAAATAAAGTAAAAATAATATAAAACAAAGTAAATATTTCACATAATGTTACAGCTACCAACATTACAATTATAAAAGGTCCATTTCTAAAGTCCAACCTTAAACAGTGCCCCAGCTTTCTTCGTGAAGAGGACTGATGTGCGCCGATTCACCCCAGATGGAGAGCTAGGTACAGAGGGGGGTTCTTCCTCTGGCCCATCTTCACTGCTTTCTTTGGTTGGCGTCACAGGCTCTGTTGAGTCACTCTCTACTTCTTGAAAAGTATTCATAAAAAAATCATAAGTATCATACAAACCACCTTTTTATCTTCAATTTTTTTATATATATTCATTTCAGATCATACCTTACTTCTTATGACATTTCTTCAGTAAATTCCTACATTATTTTAGTTATAAAATGTGAATTTTGCATCTAATTAGTTTCATATAAATGCATCTCGAGTTGAAGGTTATCACTTCAGCCAATCTTTTCTATTTATTATGGCAGAAAACACATCATAATAATTGTCTAAATGTTGAACACAAGTAGAAACTCTCAGTAAAATGTCAGTAAGATATTATTTTAACTTTACTTTCTATCCAGGAGAAATTTCCCATCACACCCAAAGTAATGACTCATAAAAATACTAACGCTTTTTGGCCGGGGGACTTGCAGAGGGACCTGACAGAGTTCTGAGACGCTTAGGAGGGCGCCCAGGACCTCGCTTCTTGGGAGTCTCCTGAGCAGAATCTAGAAAGAAAAAATAAATATATATTAACCCAATTGGCATGGATGGCAAGAATACATGCCCTGCCCACTGTAATATAAGTTTATTTATTGTATTTACACATAGATGGTTCTACACGTGCTTAGTCATCAAGGAGTCAGTTATTAGTTCTACCTATCTCACCTGTTTATGCTTTTCCTTGATTTTTGGAAAGTTTCTTTTGTATTATTTAACTGTCTTTAGTGTTACCAAGACCTTAATAACAATTTAATCATCATAATATCAGTAAAAATAATAACAGTATTAATATTAAGAGTATTAAAAAGAAAACACATTTTCCCAGAACTTCAAGGAATGAGGAAATCAGCAGTAGTCACTAGGGCCTACTGATACTCCTTGATGGCTGAGCACATGTGGAGCCATCTGTATGTAACAAAATTCACAAAAAATGCAGGGGAACAGTAAATAATTCCATAGCGAGTTAAAAAGCTGCATTTTCAGGACCTAGTTGCAAAGAGAATTAGTTATCAGTCCAACTAATTTCTCTTTCCTGCTTTTAATACTATGTTGATCCCCTGAGAGAAGAAATGAACAAAGGAGGAAGTTCTTCCAAAAAGATATTTCTCAATCATTACTATCTTCAATACAGAAAAATGCAAATATCATTATACATTAAACTATACTTGACATTGGTCTTATACCTTCTTTCTCTGGTTTAGCTGCTTTACTCTCATCTGCAAGTGTGGCTGCATGGTCAGGATGATCTGATTCTCTCTGAGAGTTCTTATTGATTCGCTCGAAGAAGGAGTCAATGCGCTTCTGTTTGGCGTCATCCTTTTGAGGGAACGATAAACATTAGCACTATACACACAATAATTACATGTAACTCATCTAAAAAACAACCCATGTATAAGTTACATAAATGGCAAATATCATCCGAAAAATCAAAGACCCAAAGCCTTGCCTTTGGTGTGCCTCTGAACCCTGTCTTGCGTTGCCGACCTCGCTGCACAGGGGTGGTCATAGGTGACGACAGGGACACCTTTCGATTGCTCAATGGTGTCTTAGGGGTGTGGGACAGGTGGACATTAACCATTTTTGCTGCCAGTGGAGGTGGTGTGCTTGGCCTGCTTGGCTCGCCAGGTTCGGCCTCATCATCAATGACTGAGCTATTATCTATATCTGGGAAATGTCATTAAGCTTAATGATTACATAAACAAATAATGTCAAATATTTATCAAAGTTTAGGAAAAATTCACCTCTTCTAATAAAAATGCAAAAGAAACAAACAATAGTTTTACCGGAATCATCCTTGTCACTGTCGTCATCACTGTCATAGTATGTTACACTGGCCTTGTAATGACTATTTCCAGAATGATTCATTGCCAGTTTCCTGCGCACTATCCCAATCTCTCGTCTGTAATTAACAACAACAGTAATAATCATAACAATAATAATAGTAATAATTATAATAATAATAATTACAGTAACAATAATAATAATAATAATAGTTGTAGTAGTAGTAGTAGTAGTAGTAGTAGTAGTAGTAGTAGTAGTAGTAATAATAGTAGTAATAGTAGTAGTAATAGTAGTAGTAGTAGTAATAATAGTAGTAGTAATAGTAGTAGTAGTAGTAGTAGTAGTAGTAGTAGTAATAGTAGTAGTAATAGTAGTAGTAATAGTAGTAGTAATAGTAGTAGTAGTAATAGTAATAGTAATAGTAATAGTAATAGTAATAATAGTAGTAGTAGTAATAGTAGTAGTAGTAATAGTAGTAGTAACAGTAGTAGTAGTAACAGTAGTAGTAGTAGTAGTAGTAGTAGTAGTAGTAGTAGTAGTAGTAGTAGTAGTAGTAGTAGTAGTAGTAGTAGTAGTAGTAACAGTAGTAGTAGTAACAGTAGTAGTAGTAACAGTAGTAGTAGTAACAGTAGTAGTAGTAGTAACAGTAGTAGTAGTAGTAACAGTAGTAGTAGTGGTAGTAGTACTAGTACTAGTACTAGTAATAATAGTAGTAGTAGTAGTAGTAGTAGTAGTAGTAGTAGTAGTAGTAGTAGTAGTAGTAGTAGTAGTAGTAGTAGTAGTAGTAGTAGTAGTAGTAGTAGTAACAATAATAGTCAAAATAACAAGAGCAATAATAATAATAATAATAAAAGTGGTGAGAACTTTTAGAAGTGGAAATTATTTGCACTAATGCAACACAAAATTAAAATTGCAGACCCATGTAAATTATGTATATAACTCTTGGAAAGTCTTACCAGTAAATTATCAATTATGTTAAGCAAACAAATTTCAAAATACCTAATGAGTTTTACACGCTTAATGCGCGCTACATGATGTCGAATCATGTTTGCTTTATCTAGGAGCTCAAGCAGTGCTTTCTCTCGATCTTCTAGACTTGCTGAATCATCACCATCAGCTACCAGGGCATCATCAACTGAAATGAGATATATATACATCCAAATCTTTTACCACAAAACACTGTTAACATCATGCATTCGATACAGTTGACCTTGTAAGAAAAAATTATTGATCTCATCACAAAAATTTAATAAACTGAAAAATACTTTATTCTCTATTTTCTTTTTCCTTTACCTTCCTTGATTATCTTGTTATCAGAGTATTCTGGCAAAGGTTTGGGTCGGTGTGGTAGTAGCAACCCAGTTTCCATATCAAATCCAATGTTCTCAACATTTCTTCGGAGTTGACGAATGATAGCACCACCCTGAAAGAAAATGATACAAAGAATACTGTTAAATATAGATAATAGACATACCTACAATTGATTTCTCCATACATCAAAAAGCCATTACATCCATAAATATTTAACAAAAAATAAGTGAATTTTCATGAACAGCTGTACAGGGTAAAAACTTTGTATATACTCTGTTTACCTGGTCCCGTAGCTTAACAGCTGTTCTATAGAAAATGGTTTCTTTTGCATTATACGTGAGACAGTTGTCAATCATCAGCTCAAAGTCACTAGCAAATTGATCAATTGTGCGGTATTGATGTGTCTCAGCCTTCTGTCTCATGGTGGAAAGATCCATGGGATGTTTTACCACATCAAGATAGTCAAGAACCTGAAAGATTTGCAATAATTATTATAAAAATCAATTAATAAAACTCCTATTTTTCCAATCACATCACACCTTAACCTACTACATATTTATACAACCACTCATGGAGATGTATGTTTTCAAACAAAGTAAAAAAAAACAAACCTCATCAAAGTCAACTGGTTCAGCAAATATCATTTGTTGATCCTTCTCTTGAATTACATCAATGGTCTGTAGTAGTAGATGCACTAGAGGAGCCAATTGCACCTGCTTCTCCTCAGCTTTTCTGTAGTTCAGAATTTTATTTTGATACATTCCATTTTTATATAAGGATGGGAATGATTAGATTTTTTAAAACATCACTGAAGTACAAATTATACAATTTGCAAACAGTTTTGGTTAAATACAGAAAAATCCTAATAAATAGAATATTTACAATGATCATCAACATAACATTTGCCCCTAGCCCATAGGGATGGCATGCATACAGATGCCATGCCCAGTATGAGTTTAATTTATTATTATTTTTAGACAGATGGCTCCACACGTACTAAGTCACCAATTAGCAATTATGAGTACTACCTGTCTCACTTGTTTGACCATTTCCACTATTTTTGAAAATATTTTTTGGTATATAATATTGCTGTTAGTAAAGTAAATAACATTATATTAATTATAAGGTCTATAATAAAACTAACAACATCAAATATTGATGGCACTAATAAAAGAAAAGGGTTTTCTGCAAACTCAAGGAAAGGTGGTCATAGGTCATAAGGTCTACTAATTGACTCTTTTGTGGCTAAGCACTTGCAAAGCCAGTGCAGAGACATTTCATAAAACAAAACAACATTTTCCTGGGGCTTTTGGATTAATTAAATATATCAATGATTATAAGAAAAAACTACGACAGTTTACTTACGCCTTGACTAGCTCTCTCTTGGTTTTTTCCCTCTTTCTAATTAGTTCACAGAGCAGCCTTGCTTTTTCCAGATCCTGACGTAACCTCTGCCAATACTTAATTTCTTCTCTGCGTCTCTCTGCCTCCTGTTTTAGATTAATTTAAATATATGACATTTGCTTGTGAAATAAATGCTTCCCTGACAAATGATAAATTTCAAAAATAAAATGCCACAGATCTTACAAAACTGATAAAATTCTATGTAGATTACTCATTTACTAGAAATGTGCAAAATGAGGCTGACAAACTGAAAATTACTAAGAAAACAATTACACTATGGTGCAAGCTAATAAAAACATGATTAGGAAATAAGTTAACAAACTTTCCCTTACATTAGGCAAGTATGTTCTGCAGCATTATCACAATAGCCACCACTGACATAATCCAAAAACAAAATGTAACTTACACTGAGTATTTTCTCCTTATCCTTGTAGTCTGTGTTCTTCTCCTCAGGTGACCGGTTGCTGCGGCGGGAATGTGAGGTTGTGAGCCGTCTCAGTAACGGGACGCCATTTCTCGACTGCCGCTTCAACGTCCAGAAGGCTAAGAGGCGGTGCATGAACTGTGACCTTTTGGGCATACTGACCAGGGATGCCAATTTCTGAATACTGAGGAAGAAGGACAAAGGTGAAATGACTCATCTCAATATTTGTAAATATGGAGGGAAGTCTATTCATCTCAGACCTGAAATGTCTTGCTATGCCACTAAAGATATTAAATAAAGGGTACTCTAATTAGAACAAAATTTGTAAACAATGAAAACAAAACATAAAATATATGAAAATAACATTATCAATGCAAAGCATCACTATAAGGACATAAAAAGATATATCATCCTTTTTTAACATATCTTAAATAACATTTATTAATAAACAACTCTAGTTCCTGCATAATTATTTTAAACATTAAAACTGGTTTAGTTATGCTGAAAAAGTAAATTACAATGAAAGGCATTGTCTCATGTATGATACCAAACAGCCTATCTGGCATAAATAAAGTCAATAGGTATATAACTAAAAGAGAGAGAATGAGAGAGATTAAAAGGAACCTTGCACTAGGATGTATATCTGTCTTATATCTAGAGAGGCAACTGTAATTCCAAGTGATCTCTGTTTTTAAAGTTAAAATCTTGAAATAGTGCTACAAAAAGACCACTCAGATTATAAGCTTACACTACTCTACATATGAACTACTAGTTCAAGGTGTCTGAATAACAAGGTGTCTGATATTTTGGGTTATAAACTGCCAGTAGGACTCATTACCTGAATACATCAACGTAAGTCTTGGGCTCATCTTCATCATATCCTTCACATTAGTCTATATTATAAGTGCTGTACCTCTATAACTTCACTCTTTAGTTATTATCACTACAAAACTATTATTTCTCTTACTATCAATAACTATATTCTTTTGCAAAAATAATGGAAACCTCATAGTCATATTTTCAACTTTACTTTCATTCTACAAATAAGTCACTACAAGTCCCCCCTAAAACCAGTATTACCTATATACACTTTAACTGAAAAAAACATTCTTCCAGTCTTTTCATCATAATCTTAATAGGACTGTAATCACAGTTATCAATAATTACTTTTAAAACAAATAAGAAAATTCTAAAAAAAAATCTACTAGCCTTAAAATCAAATACAAAAAATACTAATTATCATTTCATGCCCCCATGCTAGTCACACAATTACAGATTAGGTTTAGTGGACAATTCCAAAAGTCAGGCTCCTATTTGAATTACACAATCAGCATGCAATAGAATCAGCTGTAAATCTATGGCCTTATTACCTAGAAGCATACAAATCATTCTGACTTGATACAGTTAGAAACAAAAGACAAAAACCACAATCTTCTTCAGTAAGATAAATTATCAGCCATTGTTTACAGGTTTGCTTTTACATATACTCAGCAGGGATAGGAACAGCACTTTTATGGACAACTAAGCTGCATACACAGAGAACACAAGTTAATGAAAACTACAGCAATTACAAGCTCAAAAGAGACCGCCACTGTAAAGATCACTTGAATGAAAAACCCATCTTACTTACTTCACCAATTCTATACATGCCTGACAAATACTGTGATGCCATACCTGAACATTTAATTCAGACTAAATTGAACTTATGCAGATTACATTAAACTCATTTCTAAGAGTCAAATTTCAAACTCTTGTTCAAAAACTAAAAGTATGATTACTACGGAGTATGGCTATCAAAGTACCTGTCATAATTTGCGAGTATGCAGGGTCACTCCCACTGGCAAGACAAGTTACCCTCCATGGTGGACAAGGTTACCACACACTTACTTTTCACTGGGTAGGATGGGCACAGAGTTGACAACACCACAATAGGTAGGGAGTATGGGACTATGAGACCCAACACAGGGCAGAAGGGGGTGCCGGGGAAACAAAATAAGCTGGTTAATGCAGGACATTTCTATCTCTTACCCAAAAAGGATACCAAATAAGAATAAATAAGGAAATGTAGCTTATAAAACATAAAAAAGGCTTAAGGGATTATTTACAATATGTGCAAAACAGAATGTATATAATGGTAACGAGAAAACCAGAGAACATAAAACCCGTGTAGCAAGCCGTACCTCATGCATGTGATTGGGTTAACACACATACATGCTTAGTGATCAGGCTGTGCAAGCATTGTCATCACTGCACCTATCTTTAGGCATTTATTGTTCACTCTTGGATTATTCAAGCAAAAAATTATGCAAGGTTTTCATCTTGAACCTGTTTGTTTATGTTACTATTATAGCAATGGACCAAATACTTTTCCATTAACTTTAAATGGTAATAATCTCAACATTTAGGTAACTGACAACACAGGTAAGATGAAAGGACAAGGAGATGAATAACAGGCAAAAAAAAAAAAAAAGAAAAAAAAAAAAAAAATCTGAAGTTGTATTTCAACCTCCTGGATTATCAACAGCTGCAATCTAAGTGGAATGAAAAAGCAAGCAATCCAACAAACCAAATGCCAAAGACCTGAATAACTATATACAGTGAATAGGTTAGAGGGGACATTTACATATGGATCCAGATAGGACATAGGAAATATGGGTACACTGCTCTTTTCCTTTTTATGCTCTCAATGGTTTGACTTAATCTTACAGTAACAAAAAAAATTACACTCATTTTCTTAAAGCTTAATGTTTAACAATCTAATTAAGGATGATATCATATAAACTGCTTGTATCATTCTGGCACAATCAGAAACAGTAATGCACCCGGCATAAGTTGAATTTACAAGTCAATCTGTAACACACGGCCTACAGCATCTAGACTAACATAATGGAGTTCTCAAAACACAAAGCATTGAAATGAATCATGACAAAATCTTAACAACTGAAGCTGTCTATACAAGCTTATCTGACACTTTTCAAATCATTTGTGAACTCCATTACCATAAATCAAAGCCATCGCAAGTATCACTCACCTCTTATGATCTGCAAATCTTACCATGAATCTTAAAAGTATTATTTCTTATCTAGATGCCAACACATCAGCTTACTATAATATTTAATCTATCAGGTATACCAGTCAAAAAACATGATTATGATTATTTTAGTTATTTGTGGAGCATAAAGTTTTTCCCAAAATATTTTAAAGAACAAGACGTACTGAACTCACTATAAATTCAGTGACATTACTTTAACTGTCTCTGAGAATCAATATTAGTAACAGCTGACAATTCTGACACTTAGGAAGAGATAGCTTTAGTTTCCAAGGTAAAAGTCATCTTTGTTCAGAGTAACAATAATGTAAGTGAAAAGTATAAACACCTAAATGACCTTGAATTAATAATAAGTATGTTCCAGTAAAGATATATTAGCAAACATGGGAGATTTAAAATACAGTTCAAATTATGATCAAAGACAAAATTAAAGCAAATGTTCTAGCTCCAAACATATCACCAATTTCCTAAATAAATAAAATTAAAACCAAAACCTATAGGAAAATTTTAATCAAGTGTTGGGCTTTAACATCCTTAAAAAAAAAAAAAAGTTTCCTTTCTTACCGGTCAGCTGGTATTGTGGGAACAGAAACAATTGGAGCAGCAGAACGTTTCTCGGCCAAAATCTTACGAGCTTTCTTCATTTTCTGTCGGGATGCCGCTTTTGCTGCTGCTTTCTTAGCTGAGTCCATAATCTCATCGAGCTGAGGACGCTGAAAAGTGAACACACACTGGCCCTTCAACCACAAATGTTCAACACAGCAAAAGCAGAGGAGGCAAGCACTGGACGACCGTCACACCAGATATGTGCCAGACTGTACATGCTAGTCCTCTTTCTGTTCTTAATACTATATCTAAAGAAATTTAGAAAAAAGATATTGTACATTATCTCATCAGAAACAAGTTTCCAATTTTTTTACCAAAAATTTTGACAGATTTATTAACCAAATTTTGATGCAAAAAAATATTATGAATGGCCATGGCTACACTCCTTCCTGAATTCAACTGCTGACTCGTTTCAATTCTAACAATTCCTAACTTACATATTCAGTTTGGCACTTTCAATATCAGTATACGTAGTTATGCTTGACCAGCAACAAGCACTGACTGCATAATTCTGCTCACTAAGGTGCAAATAAAGGGATTAGTTGCAGAACAAAAACATATATGCATTCAAGAGTGTATCTGCCACAAACCAGCATTTGAAAAATATTAATCTCTAAAAACTTCTACCTCAATATTTGTAGTACTATAATAAGACATGTTTACACAAACAATAAAAACTTTTTCAAACTTATTCTTGGGTGAATTCTCCATATTTTTTACAAAGATAAATAAATTTGTAGATCTGTATTCCATTCAAAAATATATCATAATTTCACATGATATAATAAACAAAAAAGATAGTGATAACAGTTTCCAATCTCAGTATTTAAAACTACTTCAGTATAACAACATAACAAAGGAAATTCTAAATAATTCAAAGAAATTTTACTTTCATTATCTTCTTGTTCTTCATATTATGGTTGTTATACTTGTTCTTTGCAAATACTTTCTAAACAGCCATCCTGTTGCATATATCAACTGATCCTATAGTTATTTTTTATTTGTGTTTTCATTTGATGATGTAGGTGCTCTACCAAAATATTAACATTTGGCCTAATATATTTGATACCATATTAATAAAGTATATTCTATGTCACTTTATTGAGTGTTTCCTTGCTTGCCATGAGCTCTCTAATCACCTACTTCTATCAGCAAAAGTCCTGACCAGCCAGATTCACCATGTTTGAGTTCAGAAATAGAGTAGATATTTGACATATTTCACTGAAGCATATTTAGTGCTTAGTGAAGCATTTTTTAGAATATGAAAGTAAAGCAGGCAAGATTATAGAGGGATGCGAGATGTCACAAGACACCAAACAAGCAAAATCTAACCGCAGTAGGCATCCCACACATATCATCAATATAGATGGAAGACTCTCATGACCTGATAATCAGCAAATAATAATGATGATATGAGAAATTACATGATATCACACTGCCTTAAAGCTGCTGTATTTTCTTGCTTTTGAGGAAATGAGGAATAGCACTATCCATAAAACCTAATTCATGAAAAAGAACAAGATTAGAGTAGGGCAAACTTTCACAGCACTATTCCTTGTGCATAACTGTATGAACAAACTTACACATACTATGATGACTGCTACAATTATCTGCATTCATTGCATCCTAGGTGTTTCTCAACTATATGATCAAAATTTGTACATGGAAGTTAGCATATAGTTTGCCTTCCCATGTATTATTCCCATCTCATGTATCTTTTACCAAAACCCTTCCTAAATCAGATTTGAATCTTTAGTTCTGTTTTATTATTTATCTTATCAACTCTTTTTCTGCCTTCAGTCTTCTCTCTTCTGATAACAAGTAAACCACTATTCTAACATTGCTAAAAAATCATTTCCCATAAAAAAGACAAATGTATAAGGCTTTTTTTTCTTCTTTCAAGTAACCGAAAAATACAGAAACTTTATTTGCTTCACCACTCCTGGTCTTATAATTGTATAATGCCGATTGTCAGAAAGGAGTTACATGTCACCTTTTAGTTCTCCTTCTGCACTGCACCTTTATTATGAATATTTATTGAATTCTAAAAAAAAAATTAAAGTTCCTTCTAGCTTCCAGGTTCAAGCTTGTTAGCAGGAAAGTGCTGAGAGAGCAGAATATTAGGAAGCACAAAGGGTGGTGCAAGAGCTTGAGCAAAGCCAAAACAAAATGGTGAAGTAAGCAACACATCTATATCAACTATTTCCCTTGCTCTCTCTTTTACTTCTCCATCTCTTGCTAATATTGATATGGCATGACTAGCAGGAGTCCTATCATATAAAGGAAAGTTACTTTATATTTCAACAAACTTCAGGTAGTCTTTGTTTTTGAATAAATATAGTTGATCATTTCTATTCACATCATTATGAAATAATCAATAGTCAAATTTGCCATGTATATTATGTAAACAATCAAAATAAACATAACATACCGCATCTGAGTCAGCTGGGGTGTGCATATCACAGTAAGCTGCTTTACGCACTGTAACTGATGTGCCATTCACACTTGTCTCTCTTACTGCATCAATCTTCATATGCAGTCCTGCTTGTTGAGCACAGGTCACATGGAAAGCTGTGAAAAGTATAAAATATTTATAACAGAAAAGGTATTCTGAGAATACAGTACCTGATTGAATAAATTGTCTTCATGTGCCCAATTAGATATAATATAATAAAAGAAGACTTAAAAGCGAAAAGCATAAAGGTACAAGACTGCTAAACATGGGGATAAGAGAATGACAGTCGAGGAGGCTGAGAGAAAGAAACAGAGAATAATACGAATGATAAAAAAATGCAGTGGGTCCCAATTCATATGCTATTATTTTAAGAGTACAGAAAAATATCTAAAACAAATATCTACCTGTATAGCAGTTTACTTTATTACACTGGATACAAGCACCCACTCCTCTCTGCTTGCATATGTAGCATGTGAGTTTCCACCGAGCAGGAGGTATATTACCAATACTGTCTATTGGTTCAAGGAAAACCTGCAATACACATACAGGGATTAAACTTTGCCTGTAGTATAGAAAAAAGCTTTGTAATACATATAACCTTAGTAAGACATATATATATATATATATATATATATATATATATATATATATATATATATATATATATATATATATATATATATATATATATATCATATAAGAAACTCTCATACTTACAGTATTTGCAAAACAAACTTCAGGAATCCACATGGCACAAACAACATGAGCCCAGCGAGCATCATCTGTCTGTTTAAATGCTCCACCCTTGTTAGGACAAAGAGCACAGTCCACAGCCCGTGATGGAGATTGTAAGCACCGCCTGCACAGCCACTGCCCCTCTGGGATGTAAGGAACTCCATAGCACTCCTGAGAAATTGACAAGACAGATTTAACATATCTGAAAATGAACACCTCTTTTACCAATGTTTTACATCATTCCTCTTTGGTATTTGATTTTAAAGTTAGTTCCTTAATACAAAATACTAACCTGATGCACTGCTAAGTTGCACATATCACAGAATAGGATAACATTACTGTTTTGACACTCTCCATCCATACAAATACAGCATACAGCATCCTCATCTATTGGCACACCAGAATCTCTGCCAGTTGACTGAGCCTAGAATAACATAACACATAAGAAAAAATGTAACTAAACCCTATGGTTTAGAACAGATATAAATATCATGAAGAAAAATAGTAACATGAAGAACAAATAGTTTTTCATATCAATAATATAATCACTGCTACAGATTTCTATGTACCATGTACTACTGAAAAAAACTTTTAGGCACTTGAAAAAGACAATTCAAATACTAAATCATAATACCATTTTACAATCATATTCCTTAAATTTTCTTCATGCAAGACCAGTGTCACAAACCCAATGGTTTTACCTGGAAGAAAGATTCCTTTTCTAAACGATCCATGAGTAATTCAAAGGTCTCCATTTCTACAGGTGGCAGTTCATCCACGGCTCGCTTCTCATTCATTTTCTGCAGCCATGCTCTGTCTTCCTCATCCATGTCGTACTCCACTTCTTCATCTAATTCTTCAAGACTTTTCTCTATAAACCTAAAAACCATAAAGTTACACAATATTCTGAATTTCCATTCAATTGCTACTGAGAAAGATTCATGAGTTTTAACTCAATCATGAAATTTTGAAATTGTATAAAACTATTGTAGCATTTAACCAAATTAATGGAACTAATAAATCTGTCTGCTTTAGTTATTTATCAATATCAACATAACAGTATACATACACAAATCTAAACATATGGTTATACAGTGTACATAAGATTACTACACAAATTATTCATATATACCTATGATAGTTGGATGGTTGTGGAGGAGCATCAGGAAGATTTTTGTAATAATCCTCTATGACTGAAAATGATGCTTCTGGGAGTTTGTTGCTTTTTTTCTCTTCTATCGTGTACCGTTGGACATCTACCCCTCTATCTTTATCACCTGTACGAGCCTGTGCAAAAGAAAAAGTGTTAAAAACATAAAACAAGGAGAGATAGTTTCCTTATGTTCCCTTTCAAATGATTTGCAGATATTCAGTGACACAAATCATCTTTACAATACTCACTTTCGGTGGTTTCTGGAGAGGAGTTTTCTGCACTGGAGTTTTTGATAGGGAGGTTTTAGATGTTGGTGTCTTGGGCAAGGGTTTGATAGTTGGTGTGCGTGCTTGCTCCTGAGGTGGGGGCTCCTCCACGACCGGAGGCATAGAGGCTTCGTAATCCTCCTGATCAGAAAATGGAAAATCGTGCTTACCACACATGATTTTCTAAAATTAGAGAGGTCATACAGAACACTAAATACAAATAAATATCATAACTCAAAATTTTCAAGACTTTATAACATCTCTGAGAATAGTAACCATTATATTCATCATGAATACATAAAGATCAAGTATATAATAGCAAAAAATACTATCAATAGTAAAGACCTGGATTCTATTCCCACCTTTGATAAAATTTCTATTGGGTCATAGACAGACAACCGAGTCAACTTTCCATCAACCTCAAACTCCACAGTTTTCATGTCATGTGAGTATGGTATTGAAGGTGGCTCTGGATCCTGGCTTGCTACAGGGGATGGGGGTCGCTTCATGTTTTTCTTCCGGGCTGAAAGATGAACCAAATAAAAAGTAGAGAGAAATTTAAGTTTTTAAGTTATTACCTTTATCTCTCAACATTGTTCAAAGGATCTACTGAGTATTTTCTCACCTGATTTTGGAGTGACCACATTTGGAGGAGGATTCTCATGGTCATATGTGTTCATGTGGTGCTGAATGCCTGCTAGACTGCGGTAAATCTTGCCACATGATGCATGCGGGCATTCATATGGAGGTTTTGTCATACGACAGTGGTCCAGGAACTGGTCCATATCATAGCCAAGGCCCAGCCGAGGCATGATGTATTATATATCTGTAAACAATGATCAATATATAATCCTTCCTACTTAATATACAATGTATATTTCAACCTTCATACATACAATACTTAATATCATTTGATGTATCTTATTGCATCATTCCTTGGAATAATTGTGAAGCATATTTTTCTAGAATGAAGCACTTGACTCTGCTGCTGAACATTCATGAGATAAATAATATCTTTAATAAAAAACATAACAGAAAAGCCAGCATCCTTTCTTAAAAAAAATCTAAAACTAGAGTAATATTAGAAACAGATTTACAGACAGAGCAATCATACACTTCACAGATGCTGCAAGACACTCAGCAACACCAAACATTTCTAATTCAGCAGATTCAACTCGCCACTAATCTGCCAATCTTCTAGTCCTCACAATAAGTAGGCCTTTGAAGTGCTGCTCCTCTGGCATTTGCACTAGGAATGGAATTATATTAGCTGGATCCTTTTAAAGCCTCCCTCAGATGATCTAGGCCTTTAGCATCCCTCCCCTGCCTCAAGAGTAGCAGCATCCTACAAAGAACAATAAATCCTTTCCTTTCTTCCCCGACAGCCAGGGTTTTTGTGGTGCACACTAACCTCAATCCAGCACTTCTGTTTTGCCAGTCACACACGCCAATTTAAATTATTCTCATCCAAAAAACACTTCTAAATGTACACCGACGACCCTACAATTGCAAACCACTGATAAAGCAACAACTGAAAAGAGACGGGATGCCGAGTTGTCAAAAGCAGACCCGGAGCAGGACCTCAAAATGCGCTGCCTCCCACAAGCACACAAGCAACTGCGATCTCTCCCAGCAGACAGCAAGCACCTCCAACCTTTGCTCTGGCCTACTTACCTCAGAGAAACCTCCGTGAGAAGAAGAAATTGACGAAAATTCCTCCCCGAGATTCCCGTGGCTTCGCTCCCGCCCCGACCTCCTCTATATCACCTTCGCCATTTTCTCTCCTCCAGGATGTTCCAAATCCGGATAGAACACGAAAACTAAGCTCAGTTTCCTGGATAACTGTGACCGTGCCTATGAGCCAAAAAAATAAAAAAAGACAAAAAAATAAAAACAGGTTTTGTTAATGGAGGCTGACGAGAGCTTGGCTTCCCTCTGCCCACACCTCTTATTATTTACCTAAAACCCTCCCTAAATTCGCCAGTACCCCAATTTCCCTCATCCTCTATCCTTAATTCACAACACCACTACAAAACTACTCACCTAAGGACTTCAAAAAAGGAAAATAACCGGGTTTTAAAAGGCCAAGATCGATCCTAGGAGAGCCGCTTGGCCGCCATTGTTCACCAAAACAACTTTTCTCAGACTCGATTAGCCAATCAGAGGCAGCGTCACTCGGCGCGGGAAATTCGAATCCCAAATCTGGCTGGTTTCAATATTTTCAATTATATATTACTTTCAGGCATTAAATTGAAGTACGATCCTTGTTCTTATTATCTTGATTGTTATATTTCATTTACATGTTACTTTTAGGCATTAGGCATTAGATTGAAGTGCGATCCTTGTTATTAACTTGATTGGTATATTTCATTTACATATTACTTTCAGGCATTAAATTGAAGTGCGATCCTTATTGTTATTATCGTGATTGGTATATTTCATTTACATGTTACTTTTATGCATTAAATTGAAGTGCGATCCTTGTTGTTACTTTCTTGATTGGAGTCTTTCGTCTTCTGAATGATAATGACATTATTGGTGATACTATCAATGATAATCATAATTCTAAAAATAAAATTTGCAGTAATAATAATAATAAGTGCAGTAA